TTAGTAAGCATGGGAGCCTGGCCTAGAGTTGGGGGTTGGTAAATTGATCATGTGTTGGGTCTTAGCAAGAGAAGAGAGTGCATCAGAATAATGCGGTCAGAAAGCAGCATAGACCGTTTACCTGAATATCTCAAGCAATCTTGTCTATACATAGGGAAGACTAAAATGAAGATGAGTCTACGATTGGTTAAAAATAAAGGTGGCAGTCATTTCAAAAATTGGTCAAAATATGATTTTCCTTTTGTCTGAGAGAAGAGGCATTTGGTAATTTATGTGTGGATCCCTGACCATGTGGCCACGACCTTACGATGACTGTATCATGGTCTCTGAGTAAACTTGTCTGAGGCTAGCATTATGTAGGAGAGCTTAAGTGTAGGAGGACAGGGCTTGATGTGATTGCCAGCCAGCTTCTTTGAAAACGTTTTTGTTTGATTCGTTTGTTGGTTGGTTGGCTGGTTGTTGTAGTAGTTGGGGTGTTTGATGACGTGTGTAGGGAGCTCAGACAACAACTTGTAGGAATTGGTTCTCCTCTTCCACCTTTGTGAGGGTTTTGATGATTGAACTCAGGTGGTCAGGTTTGTGTAACAAGCACCTTTACCTATCTACTTTACCATCTCACAATCCCTCAGCCATGTTCTGAACAGCAGAGTCTTCAATGGGGAGTTGAGGAAATGAGTTAGTGTGTTTAGGACATATGTGTTTCTACATGTAGAGAAACTTGTTTGCAAGAACTCTTCAAATAGCTCAAGTGTTGGGTTCATCTGTGAGATTTCCCAACAAGCCCATAAAAATCTTTGTCAAAGGACAGGCATTTTCTTTCTTTACTTATTTTTTTTTATAATTGGATGGAATCAGGGTAGCTTTTTAAATTTTTATTTATTTATTTTATGTGTATGTGTGTTTGTTTGATAGTGTACCATGTGTGAACCTGGTGCCCTTGGAGGCCAGAAAAAAGGAATTGGTTAACAGATCCTCTAAGTCTCGAGTTACAGATGACTGTGAACCACCATGTGGATGCTGAAAATTGAACCTGGGTCCTCTGGAGGAGCAGGCAGTGCTTCCAACCACCAACCGTCTCTCCAGCCCCAGGATAAATACTTTCAATCCCTAAAGTCACCACTTCTATGCCTTGGGAAAGCTGAATTGTGGTTACAATAGCAAGCTGCCTTGGCAGCCTGGCTGAGGCCTTATGGACATTTCTATCTAATGTGCGGGTCCTCCTAATATGCCCGTCCTCCCAGGGCAGGCTGTAGGCTATTTTCTGCAGGCTTGTTTGTCACAGTGCCCGGTGACTCCCAGAGTTACTCATCTGAGCCCTAAGGAAACCTGTCAGATATGAATTCTTTGTTGGTTTTGTGATGGTGGCCTCTGACCAGACAGGTTCAGCTCCTCAGTCCCCAAGGGCCTTCTTGTTTCTGCCTCTTGTCTTGTGGGGTGGTGACCTCACCCTGGCTGTCAGTTTCAGGGATCCAGTGACTCACTGTGGAGTAAATTAACAACCAGCACATGCCTGGCTCCTGAGGTCTCCGAGAAGGCTCTCTAAGGAAGTGGGCCATGATCCGTCATCCTTCAGTGCAGTGCTCTTGACTACCGATGACTCTTTCCCTGGTACAGCCCTACGTGTCCTTCCACACTTGAATACACCACTGTGATGTTGCTGTTCTGTCTTTATTATTCCTTTCTATTCAAGGCTGGACTCTCTGGTTCTCTCTCTCTCTCTCTCTCTCTCTCTCTCTCTCTCTCTCTCTCTCTCCCCTTCCTTTTTTCCTTCTCTTCCTCCCTCCCTTCCTCCTTCCTTTCTTTCTTCCTTCCTTTCTTGACAAGGTCTTTCTATTTACCTCAGACTGGTCTTAAACTCACAATCCTCCTGTCTCAGTCTCCTGAATTCTGGGATTATGGAGGTTTTGACCACAGCTGTTTCTCCAAACACACACACACACACACACACACACACACACACACACACACACACACCACACACTCCCACGACTTCCCTTTTCAGGTTCTCTGGCCCTGGCTTCTCTTCCTTAAGGGTCATACCTGTTTTTAATCAGATGTGTTTGCTTGTTGTAAAAATTAATACCCTAGGCTTTAGTTCCTCATATCTGTAAACCATGTGAAATAATTACCTTTTAGTATTACTGTGTGGATTCTTTCTATGATAACTATGAGAATAATTAATGTACACATTCGTCAATAAAGAATTTGAGCAGGAAGAATGAAAGTCTCTTTTGATTACTGTCTTCCTGAATCACAATCGGATGAGGTCTCATAGGTCATTTTCTGTGTATTGTCATGTGTTCATGTACGTGAATATGCATAGATATGTATGCTTTTGAATAGCTATAAATAAGACAATGAGGATGGGAAAATGTTTGTGGACTGAGTGAGAGAATTTTTTTAATTTAATTGCTATATCTTTCTTAAAAGTAAATCCATTCATAATGGTGAAAATTGAAAGAACCAGTAATGAGAATATAATTCTGATAGTTACAGGCTGAAAATTAAATGCCAAGAAACCCCCCAAATCAGCTAAAAGAGTTGAAAGAGACAGAGAATAGGGTTGGTATTTTTTTTTTCTAATTGCTTCACATTTAATTTCTACATGTTACTTCTATTCAAATTCTGAAAATAGCCAATTGTGCTCTGTGGTCCTTAGCCGCCCCCCCCCCCCCGCCACTGCTGGAGGAATCAACAAGGATCCTCTGCCCACCCTCCCCTTCAGGTGAGAGTCAAACACTTCCTTCCTCCCCCTCTCCTTTCCCACGCCTAGCCTTGTGCAGCCCTCCTGTTCTCTCACACCTCCGCCCATCTGTTCTCCACCTGGAGCCAGAATCATCTCGGTCACGTGTGCAGTCAGAAAGCCTTTCTCCCCACTTTAGAACTATCTGAGCTGTATGTGGCAGCATACACCTACAGTCCCAGCACTCAGGAGGCTTAGGAAGGAGGCTCACACAAGTCCCTGCTCCAGGAATTTTTTTAAATTAAATTAAAAACTAAGACTTCCCCAGGGTAAAGGAACAGGAGGCACCCAGCCCTGAAAGCCTCTCCATGCCAGGCCCAGACATGAAGTGCCACCGTCAACACACACTAATCCTCTCCTATCCACCTCCAGATGCACCTCTGTCACAGCTGTCTGGGCTCTGGACTCCCTTTATTCCCAAACCAAAGCCATTCCCCGTGTGTGCCTCTGTAGGATGGGCTATAACTCATAGTACACAGCGTTCTGCGCTTTGTTCTTTTAACCACGCGTCCCAGAGCTCTTCTCATGTCAGCCCACATGAGTTTTCTTCACTTTTTTATTGGTTTGTTTGCTTTGCTTTGGTGCTAAGGATGGAGTCTAGGGCCTCACGCAGGCTAAGTGCCTGTTCTATCACAGAGCTGTGCTCCAAGCCCCTCCTCGTTATTTTTTAACTGCAGCATAGATCAATTTGCATAATATGCATGAAAGCACTTTACATGTTGCCTGGCTTATGGGAATGCTCAGCAAATGTTATGTCACCAAAGTCCTCAGTACCTCCAACATAATAAAGTATCCAATAGCACTGTGGTTGCAAGTTCCCCCCCACGTAGCAGTTCTCGATGGCTTTGACTATAAATTTAATGTTACTGTCCCTGCATCATTCCTGTAGATTCTCTAACCAGCTCCCTTCACAGCCCTCCTTTGTTTTCTTTGAACCTACTCAGTTCTCCCACACACTGTGCTTGCTAGCTTTTGCCTGACAGGCCCTCTCCCGCCTCCTCCCATCATCCTCCAATGCATTTCCCTCTTCCCAGACTTCCCCTGTGAAACTTTTTAAAACTGCTCTCCCCCAAAGAAGACCTCAAGCCCTGGGCCACACTCCTATCTGGTTGGCTCACTTAGATCACCTCACTTCTTGACAAGTAGCTCAGTCTTTGGAAGGCAAAGTGTCTTAGAATCTTAGCACTTACCCTGTCAACAGGTGAGGAAAAGAGGTGGGAAGGAGCCAGGCATGGTAGCACATGCCTACAATCCCAGCACTTGGGAGGTGAAGGCAACAGGATCAAGAGTTCAAAGCCAGCCCTGGCTACAGTGAGACCAGGTCCTTAAAAGGGATGGTGGTGATGGGACAGGTTTAACTTCCTAGATGTCTATTCTGTCCTTTTAATAGACATTGCTGTGATAGGAAAGAAAACGATAATTCTGCCATTTGTTTGTTTGATTTGTGAGACAAGTTTTCACTAAGTAGCCCTGGCCAGCCTCTGTCTCTCAAGTGCTGACATTAAAGGCATGAGCCACCAAGTCCAGCTTTTTCCTTCCTTTTTTTTCTTTTTCGTGTGTGTGTGTGTGTGTGTGTGTGTGTAAGTCAGAGGACAACCTTAGATGTTTGTTCTCAGGAGCTGAGAGACCTTGGTTTTTGAAACAAGGTCTCTTATTGGTCTGCAGCTTGACAAGTAAGCTACTTGGTCAACCAGTCAGTCCCAGAGATCTACCAGTCTCCTCCCCAGAGAGAATGAGAGAGGTTTCTCATTCTTACTAGTCATGTGATTCACTTCACCTGTCTCAGCCAGGGTTTCTCCATCTGTGATCTGTAAAACGGGAGTGATGATATGGAGTGATGATATCGGTGACGGCTGTGAAACGAATACTGAAATGAAACTTGAAGGTGCTGTAACAGTGTGAAGGACACTGTTACCTCTTCCCCAACTGTAACAGTGTGAAGGACACTGTTGCTTCTTCCCCAACTGTAACAGTGTGAAGGACACTGTTACCTCTTCCCCAACTGTAACAGTGTGAAGGACACTGTTGCCTCTTCCCCAACTGTAACAGTGTGAAGGACACTGTTGCCTTTTCCCCAACTGTAACACTTCTGAAGAAATTCCTAACAATGTTAAAGACACTGTTGCCTCTTCACTAACTGTAACACCTCTGAGGAAATTCCCTCGAGAGTCAGCCTCTACCTCCTGGTGCCCCCCTCCTCTCCACCGGCCTTGGTGGGCACCGACCTCCCTAAGACTGTTTTCAGTGTCCCCCTCACCTTTCTCCTCCCCATAGCAGCTCTTCACAGCCTCGTTGGAGCCACCTCAGGAGCTTTTGTAGGTTCCTTTTCCTCTTCTTCCCTGATGCCCTTCTACTCTTCATGCCTCACATGCCCCCCACCCCCACCAGGACAGGGAGCAGCAAGGGTGTGGACACAACTACCAAGTCCACGTCTCAAAGGCGCTCACCAAGATGTTCCAAGATGGTAGATAAGAGGGTGCTAGATGCTACCTCTGTTCCAGGAAGGGATCCAGGAGGGGAGTTTGGAGGCCAAGGCAGGTCCTGCGGCCAATTTTTCCAGAGATGCAAGGTAGGGTGGGGCAGAGCTGGAGGGGTGAGTTGGGGGATCTCGGAGGCTTGGCTCTAGAGGAAGTCAAAGGGAGAGGCTGCTGCACTAATTGCCAGGCTGGCTGCCAGCAGCATGCCTGTGATGCTTTGGTGACAAGTCATCAGGGAAGAGGAAGGAAAGAGGGAGGGAGAGTTGGTTCTTTGGGCCAAGACCCAGAGGCACATAGACTGGCTCTCGGCACAAGAGGCTTTTCTAGGTCACTCTCTGTGTTACCATCTCCCTTCCCAGCCAGCTTGCTCTGCCTCACGTTTCTTTCATGTTTCTGACTCAGAGTCCATGTTCCTGATATTCTCTGAGTCATTGTGTCCCTGGAAGTCAGGATTCAAGGTTCTAACACTATGGGGAGTAGGAGCACTGCAAGCTGCCCTGTCCCTAAGGCTGACTTTGATCTTGGACAAATGAGCTAACTACGGGTAAGAGAGCAGAAAAATAAAAATAAAAAACAAACTGAAAATTACAAATGGCTAATGCTAATAGAAACTACTTTTGCTTTTTGGTTTCATTACACCCATAATGTCATGTTTTTCCCTAGAGCCACACAGTTTATCACAGGCAAACTAGCTTCACATACCCAACCTTTAACTCTTTGTATAATCATTGCACATACTAATGGATTTCATAGTCATCATCACACAGATGTATCATGTACCTGGACTACGTTTATCCCCATGCCGTTCTGTTTCTCCCCCTCTTCCTTCCAGGGTCTTGTTGTGTAGTTGAGGTTGGCCTCCAATTCACAGAAATGGTTCCTGTCTCAGCTTCCATAAAGGCTGGGGTGACCATGCCTACTTTAATATTTAACTTTTAAGAAAACGTTGATTGTTAAAAGCCTTCCGTGTATGTGTATATATGTGCCTGCTTGTCTGTGTGTGCGCCATGTGGGTTAAGGTGCCCACAGAGTTGTTGGATCCTCTGGAACTTGAAGTACAGGTAGTTGTGAGCCACCCCAATGTGGGTACTGGGAACTGAACCCCGTTCTCTCAGTCCGTGAATCACCTCTTTAGCTCCATTTGCTTTTAAATCTTCATTCAAACCAGTGGTTCACAGTCTTCCTCACCTTAGCTGCTGACAGTTGCATCCTCCCAGAGCCAGGGCTAATGCGCTTCTCACACCACATCCAGTCCAACTGCCAATCATGCCGCTGCCTTCGTCCCATCCCATCACCTCTACCCCTTGTCTCACCTCACCCCACACTAAAGAAAGTCCTTACGATGATGTCAAGACCCTGCCTTGTGTCATCTGGGTTTTTGTTAACCACTTCAGCCACGTGATCTTTGAGCTGAATCCTGCTGTCTCAGCAGCTTCCGCTTCAGAACTGTTGCCTGCCTTTCCCTTCATCCTGACAAGCTTCCTCCAGATGAGCCATTGTCTCCTCCTCTTTGTTTGTTACGGATTGAAATTATAAGTAAGGTGCGCTGTCCAGCATTCTTTGTCCTCCTTCCCAGGAAGGAAGACACAAATTGGTCATTCCTAATACCCCTACCACCCAAAAAATCTAAAATTGCAAAGTCCCCCATATTTGAAACTTTTTGAGTGCCAACATAACTGCTAAGCAGAAAATTCATGTGGATGCTCAGGAAAAGGAACAGCAAAGCAGGAAGAACGGAGAGTCAGAAGAAGACAGCAGAGGAGAGGACAGGGAGGTGGGGAAGCACAGACAGATGAGGCCACATTAAAGAATATTCTGCAGGAAGGACACCATCCTTGTGCACAGTCGTGTAACAGAAACAGGAATTCTCACCTTATCTACTCTCTGAATCTATCTATACAGCTAAAGTTTATTTTAGAAAAACTTTCCCTGGTTCAGTCACAGCGCTAGTGTGGATGTGGTTGTAAGCACAGAATTAAGAACTCACCCCGTTTGGGGCATGCTGGTGCCTGCCTTTAATCCCAGTGCCCAGGAGGCAGAGGCAGGGAGGTGTCTGTGAGGCCACCCTGAGCGACACAGTGAGACATACATACAGCTAGGACTATGTAGAGAGACTCTGTCTAAAAGACAAACAAAAAGGGAAAAAGAAGGAAAGAAAAACAAAAAATAAAAGAGAACTTATTCCTCATTTTCCTTACCATCATTCTTTGAAGACCACGCCAACACATTTGTCAGTTCTATCTATAATTGTGCTTCAGATTGATCTCCTTATTCAAGTCACATTGGCTCCCACTACCTCAAGCCAACATCCCTCAAATAAATTACTGGAATGTTTTTTCTCTCTTCAGGATGACCGCCTTGTGTCACTCTGAGGGCTGCTATTAGCATGAAGGTGCTGGGGTCACTCCTGCCCCTGTCTCACTTGACTTCTCAGAACCTAAGATCTAGCCCTTGCCTAAGCCCTCATTCTCATGAACCATCTTTGTATCCTGCTCCCTGAGCTCCAGCTCTGCCTACACTAGCTCAGTGTTCTTGCAACTGGGTCTTTGCTTCTTCTCTGCATGTGATGAACGCTTCATCTCTCCTTAGCATCCTCCCTAGAAGAGCCCACCCCTCCTCCATAACAACTGAGGGTCTCTTCTGCCAGTCTCTGTGCTGGGTACCCGTGGAGTTCTTAGATTCATCAAAAGACGGGCAGACATGGTGTGCATGCCTGTAATTTCGGCACTTGGGAGACTGAGGAGGAACTTGAGATTGATACCAGTAATGGCTCCAAAGCAAGACCCTGTCATAGCAAACAGACCACAGCAAAAACAGATAAAAATATATGGTCTCTACTTAAATTTGACTTTGGGGCAAACAATGAATATTTATTTAGATAAATATGTCCCAGATAGTATTTCCATAATGCACATATGAAAATATTAATTATCTGGAATTAAACTGTACTAGATGCCTTAGATCTTATTTCTAACCCTAAATAGGTGGCTATTTCATTTCCCCTTTTAGTTGCAGAAATTAGAACGTACAACACTTTACTTCTCAGAATTCTTTGAGGCTAGAATTCTGGATATGAATGGAATTTCTTCCAAATAGGTGAACTTGTATAAGTTTGAAAGGCAGAAGTACAGAAGGTGTCGTTGCCCTTCAGAGGAAGAAGGACAAGTCCCAGTAGACACCAGAGCAGGAGGACAGTGGGGCGGGTCTGATATGCTAATAATACCTGTGACTTCGGAACTGTGGATATTGATCCTGAAGCGTCCCTCAGATACTTAGGATCCAGTTATGACCTCCTGACTTTGAATCTTCTGTACCTTTCAATGATCTTATCATGTAGTTCCCTAAGTCAAATCTCATTCTGTTTAAAATACCCCATGGGCTCCTGCTTCCTGCCCTGAGCCTGACCTGATACAGCTCTCACCACCTTGAACTTTCCCTCCTCTCGTGTGTGATATTTAATATCCCATACTCTTTTTCCCCCTTTCATTGCTGGTGTTGAACCCAGAACCTCATACATATTTGACAAGCAGCAGTGTTACTGGGCTCCATCTCCAGTCCTGTTGAGCATCCTCTCGCTGACTGAGCATCAAATCCAGTGTCACTGTGCGTTGCTGTTGCTGTGGGAGCTACTTCCGCTCCTTCAGCCAATAACCTTCAAGATACCAGCCCAAATAAAGGCTATTGGCTGAAGGAGAGGAAGTAGCTCCCGCAGCAGTGCGTGGGCCTCGTCTTTGCTCCTGTTTTCTATGAGTCTAGACATAAACACTGGACATATCATATATTATGAATACCTAAATCTGGTGCCTATGAGACAGAAAGAATCCTACTCCTCACTCCTAAGGGATGAGAATTAAAACGTGTTTTCCACTTACATACCAGTTATCTTATGATCTCTAATGATAAGGAACCAGATGAAATCAGCTATGTGTAGTAGATTTAGAGACCTTGAGCAGGTGGAAAGTGGTTTATTTGGAAGATGACAAGGTGAATATGACAGATGTCCACCCTGGGTGTAAATTATGTGGAACCAGAATTGGAAAAGGAATGGTGAGGCTAAAGCAGGGTGAGCTTCCAAATGCAGATAATTCCTCCACTTAAGGCTCAGAACGAAGTCAACTCTTATTCTGACCCCAAGATCCTGCTTCTGGCATTTCTCCACTCCCATGCTGAACCTTCTAGTTAGTCACAAGGCTGCTAACTAGATGACTCTTCCCCAGCTGTTCTCACTGTGGGTCCCTCTCATCTGTCAGGCCCCCAGCTGTTCTCACTATAGGTCCCTCTCTGTCAGGGCTCAGCTCAAACGTCACCTCCTCAGCAGAGCTTCTATTACCCTATTAAAACTACTTCATGCCCCTCTGGTTAGTTCCTTCTATATTATCCACTTTATATTTCCAAAGCAGTTATCATAATCTATCATTACCTTGCTAATTTATTTGTTTACTTGCTTATTAGCTTCTGCCAATAGAATTTAAATTGCCCAAGGTCAAGAAACCATGTCTGACTTCCTCTTTGCACCCCACAAGTCCCCAACAGTGTTAGGCATGCATTGGTGTTAGAAAATAGTTGTTGACTGATGAAATGTTACGGGTGAGAGAATGGTCAGTTCTTAAAGTAATACTGCTAAGAGGCTGGGCGGGGCAGGCAACCTGGGGAATACTGGAGACAAGAGAATGAACAGCAGATATTTAAGGGCTGGATAAAGAAGTATCCATGACATCAATGGGAGTTATTAGCAGGAAGAGGACTAATGAGCATCCAAGAAGGTGAACACCTAACTCTAAGAAGACCTGCTAAAAGGAAGGAAGGAAGCTTTGTAAAAAGGAGCAGAAAAGATAGCAAAGGAGCGAGAGCCGGCCAGGGGTGGGATGTGCCCTCAGATCACAGCCTTGGTTCATGTCTGAAAAGGAAAGCAAAGTCTCAGAAGGAAAGACGTTTAAGAGAAAGAGTACAGGACAGATGATAGGGCTCAGTGGTAGATCATCCACCGCCCTGATTCCCACTCAGGAACTCTATTCAAACTCCTCATCAAGCCACTCTAGGGTTAACTAAGAAGAAGGGCTGGATGGGTGAGATTCCTACAGTAGTTCACACCTGTGAGCATCAGGATTCTTCCAG